CGGCTTGCTCCCCCCGGCATCTTAAGAAAAACCAGAAAGCTTAAAAGTAACACAGCATGGACAAAGCAGCCCCAAGCCAAATGCCCCGAGACACTCTCAGAAGGAGGCAGTATTGCTCACACCGCAACCAGACCTGGGCCAGACACAGGGAGGGCCCTGGAGTCTGAGAGTTTCAACATAACCACGTGTCCATATCGAGCCTTGCCTCATCCGTGAGATTCATCATTAACTCTGGGTGAGTGGGTGTGTGCTGCACAGTGAGAAGCATCGGTATGATACATCAGGAAGTATGTCATATTGTCATCACTGTAAGATTACAAGAATTGCAGCCATTGCTTACTTCCCCCTATGGCTGGGAGCTTTATAAAGTGAACAGGCTTGTGTTTCCATCCAGTCTCAGCCTGTGGTGAAGCTGGTCAGCCATGAGGATCTATTATCTCCTGTTTGCGCTGTTCTTCTTGTTTGTGATGCCTGTTCCAGGTAAGATGGGCTGGGAAATAAGAAGGTTGAAATGACTGAGATTATATGATCCAGAGCCGGTCCCTCTCCATTCTTCAGAGAGCGTTAGAACAAGTATATTTGTTGTATGAGAACTAGGCATCACCATTTTCTTTTTTCTGATAAGAATCAAGAATCTTAAAGCAGCCTTCCCAAGGTTTTCTGATCACAAAAGCTCTCTCTTTGCCTCTTATGCCTGTAATCTCAGTAATTTGGGAGGTCGAGGCAGGAGGATTACTTGAGCCTAGGAATTGGAGGCAACACAGTGAGACCTCATGTCTACAAAAAATTAGCCAGGCACGGTGGCACACACCTGTAGTCCCAGCTACTTCGGAGGCTGAGGTGGGAGGATCAGGAGTTCAAAGCTGCGGTGAGCCATGATCATGCCACTTCAGCCTGGACAGCACAGTGAGATCCCAATTAAAAAAAAAAAACTCTTTGCCCACCTCTGCATAGGAAAACTGTGATTGTGATGCTTGTTAATGAGACAGAAAGTGATATAAAAATTTTAATACCAACAGAGAAGATGGACTTAGTCAGAAACACCACCATTTTATTAAGTGCAGTTGTTGGAGTCATTGGTTCACTTGTGAGCCCTGAGAACACTGCAGCCCGAGACCCCTGACATGTTCCTGAGACAGTGACAGTGGCCACGCCACATCCCCCCCACCACTGCGGTTCCACAGATGACCTGTAGCCCATGGAAATGCCATCTGTTGGTGGCTTAGTCCTACCTTTACTTTCCTCTTGATTTTATGGAAAAAGAAACAGAAAAAGAAAAGAAAGGCAACAGAGGGATTATTTGCAGAATTCCAGAAGCCCTGTACTTGTACCAAAAGCCTTCCTAAAAACTGTCACATGTGTACTGTTTTGTCTCTGCAGGTACTGGATGGATCATAAGATCCATACAAAGATATTTTTGCCAAACAAGAGGCGGCCGGTGCGCCATATTTAGCTGCCTTCCCAGGGAGGAACAGATTGGCCACTGCTCAATAAGAGGCCAAAAATGTTGCCGAAGAATTTTTAAAAATCCGAAAACATGATGAGAATGCTGTAAAGTGCGAAAATGTTTTCTTGAAGTTTATACATGTAAAATCAAATTAAATTCTTTTTTTTAAAAAAAATGAGATGCTTGATGACTTTACAAATACTCGGCCAGGTGTGGTGGCTCACACCTGCTATCCCAGCACTTTGGGAGGCTGAGGTGAGAGGATTGCTTGAGCCTAGGTGTTCAAGACCAGCCTGGGCAACATAACAAAACCCTGTCTCTACAAAAAAAAAAAAAATCAAAACATTAGCTGAGCATGGTGGTGCGCTACTCAAGAGGCTGAGGCAGAAGGAGCACCTGAGCTCAGCAGGTCAAACCTGCAGTGAGCCTGGGTGACAGAGTGAGAGAGACTCTGACTCCAAAAAAAAACCCACACACAAAATAAAATTTTGGTTATTGCATCTGTTGCCAAAGAGTCACTAAGAAAATCTTAGTGACTCAAATAAAGTAGAATCTCTCAAGAAATCTACAAGGGGACCTAAACTTATTTTCTAAAGATTATCTGGTTCTACTCCTCTTTTTGTTTTAAAATTTTTTTTTCATTATAAAGATGTGGGGTACAATTCAGTGTTAGGAATACAAACGTTGATTATGCAGGTCCCCTTGTTGATGAGGTTTGCCCTCCCTCCCCTAGCAGATTCCCTCAACTGCCAATTCCACCCCCACTCCCCTGACAGTTTCCCACTACTGCCAATCCCTTTCTTATAGTATCCTGTTTTGTAAATGTCTTATCCCACCCTAGTGAAAGTGGACTCCTCATTCTCCTGAAGAAAAAAAAAAACTCCTTCTGCCACCCCTTTGTCACTCATGCCTTTGAGCTTTCCAGTTCTACTCAGAAGTGCATCTGTCCTCCAAAACTCTCTCTAAAGTTTTAATGCATCTGTCAGAGGCTGCCTCAAATCCTGCAAACTTTATTTTTCAGAGAAATAGGGAATTTGGTTTTTCCTCACATATTCTCTTTGCTTTCCTATTCTTCCACACGTCTGCTCTGGTTGACTTCATGCCTAACATATGAGAGGGGACCCAAAAATTGGAATTTGTTTGTACAAAATCGTGTATTTAATCTTACAGTTTTAACCTTCAGTCACTTTCAAAGCTGTCCCTGTTGCATGCAATACATCAGCTGAGATGCTCTTTCCACTGCTCGAAACCTTGTGAACTCATCAATTTTTATGCCTTTTAATACTTCTGCTGTTTTCTGTTTTACCTCTTCTGCATGGGCAAAATGTTTCCCTTTGAGGATTTTTTTCATCCGGGGAAACCAAAAGATGGCAGTCAGGGAGAGACTGGGTGAATAGGGGAGGTGGGGCATGGGGGTGATACCGTTTTTGGTCCAAAACTTCTGAGCACCCAGAGTCCTCAGAAAAGGATTGCATCAGCAGAGGGGCTATTTAGCTCTGGATCAAACTGTTCTGCAACCACTCTAATAAAAATTTTAAAACCTTTCTTGAGAGGATCAAACTGATCTATATCTTTAAGAACCTTAAATGTGAACCAGAACAAAGCCTAACATTCTTTAAAGGGAAACAACCAAATCCATTACCCAACAATTTAAGCTTTATAATGTATTGAAACTAGCAAAAAATTATTACCAGGTATGCTAAGAAGCAAGAAAATATGACTCATAACCAGGAAAAATTCATTCAGTAAAAACAGACCCAGTGATGACAAAGATACCAGAATTAGCATTAAAAAGCGATCTAAAAGAACTAGTATAAACTTTATAAATATGTTCAAGAGAGAAGAAAAAAATCTCTTCACCAATGAAAAGAGAAACAAAAGATATAAATAACCAAATAGCACTTCCAGAGTTAAAAAAATAAGCACCGGAATAAAGATTACTCTGAAATGGAGCGATGGCATGTGACATTGCAGAAGAAACAAATCAGCTTAAGTCTATATTAGTACAAACAAATGGAGAAAGTAAGCAAAGAGAGATTTTTTTTAAAAGGTGAAAAAAAATGAATCTGTGAAGAAACATCAAGCAATGTAGCACATGTGTGTGTGTTTGGAGGCAAAAAGAAGTCGGGAAGAGAGGGTAGAGTTGAGGAGACACTGGAAAAAAATCATTTCTTTAGGAAGAAATAAAAATATACCAGGTGAAAATGTGCCTCTGTGTGATCTGTGTGATGGAATGAAGCATGCTGCCAACATTAGAGCACTCCTTAAAGGGAGAGACTATCATTTCACTAATTAAAAAAAAAAAAACAAGACCCAAATACATGCTGCCTATAAAAATCCACTTTATATATCAAATATAAGGTCAGAGATAGGCTAAAAGTAAAAGGTTGAAAAGAAATATAGTATGACCGGGCTCGGTGGCTCAGCCTGTAATCCCGCGCCCTTGGGAGGCTGAGGTGAGTGGATTGCCTGAGCCCGCGGGTTCGAGACCCGCCTGGCCAGCGAGACCTCATCTCTACAATAAATCAAAAAATCAGCCGGGCATGGTAGCGCATGCCTGTAATTCCGGTTACTTGGAAGGTTGAGGAGGAAGGATCGCCGGAGCCCAGCAGGTTGAGGCTGTGGTGGCCGGGAGTGGCCACTGCACTCCAGTCTGGGCAACAGAGTGAGACTCCAACTCAAAAAAAAAAAAAAAAGAAAAGAAAAAGAAATATCGTATGAAAACATTAATCTAAAGAAAAAAGAGTTGGCTATATTGATTAATTGACTAGAAAAATCCCCCAATACTTGGAAACTGATAAACATGTTACTCCTGGGTCAAAGAAGAAATCTCAAGAGAAATTAGAAAATATTTTGAATAGATGGGAAACAAAAACACAACATATACAAATTTCTGGGAATGCAGCAAAAGTGGTGCTTAAAATGAAAGGTATAGCATTAAATTCTTTTGTAATGGAAAGAAGAAAAGTTCACGATTTGACCATTAAGAAACTAGAAAAAGAACACAAGGCAAATTAAACCGAAAGAAAATAAAAAGGGGAAAAATTGATTAAAAAAAGAAAATATACAATAGAGAACATTAAAAATAAAGAAGTAAAAAGCTGAGTTTTGGGGATAACCAATAAAATCATTAGGACTCTTATTTGGTTCGTTAAGGGGAAAAAAAGAAATTACAAGATGCCTCAATTTTGGACTCCCAGACAAATGAGAGTAGCTCTGCATCTTAGGGTGACATAGACCAAGGGCCACCACAAGGTGGCAGTGATTGCACCCTTATTCCCTTCCCTCCAACCAGGTCAGGTCACTCTGAATTTGCCAATTAGTTCAGGAGATTGGGGGAGATGGACAGTTCCTTGTTCAAGGAGAAGGAAAAGAAAGTGTTATTACAGGCAGTAAGATACTAAGCTTTCTTATTAGAAAATATTTTATTATTTTTAAGCTTAATAGGAACCATAGAAATAACAACATAATCATACAGATCTCTTCCAAAAATTAGTGTTGTCATTTTAATAGAATAAGTTTATGAAGCATCGTTTATGAATGAGATAGCTGGATGAACCATGCAATTTTTCTGGACCGTTTTTCTGACAGTTCGTTTATTAGGTCATCAAACTTTATACCTTGAGTAACATCATTTTTCTTTTTCTTTTTTTTTTTTTTTTAGGTGTCTTTGGAAGATTTGTTTTATTTTAAAAGTTTTGTTTCATTTTAGAAGTTACATGTTTCATAAATCAGGTTACCGCATATATGGGATTCTGTTTCTGGGCTCTCCATTCTGTTCCACTGATCCATATACCTATCCTTGTGCCAATAGACACCTGAATGTTTTTGCTCAATAAAAAGTCTTGATATATGGTTGTGTATGTCTTTCAACCTTCCTGATTTTTGTTCAAGTTTATCTTGACTATTCTTCCTTTATATTTTCACATAAACTTTAGAATTAACTTGTGCATTACTGACAAAAAAAGCCTATTAGGACTGGTATTACACTATAACTGAAGATTACTTTGGAGAGAATAGACGTTTTTTCTTTTTAAAAAGTTTTTATTTTAAAGATGTGGGGTACAATTCAGGGTCAGGTATACAAATAGTCATTGTACAGGTAAAGTTTGGGTCTCACTTTGGTCCCCACTTCACCTGGTTTAAGATCAGGTATCCTAGTCGGGTTCAGTGGTTCAGCCTGTAATCCTGCGCTTTGGGAGGCTGAGGGGAGTGGATTGCCTGAGCCCGTGGGTTCAAGACCCGCCTGTGTTACTTGGCGAGACCTCATCACTACAACAAATTAAAAAATTAGTTGGGCGTGGTAGCGTGCAACTGTAGTTCCAGCTACTTGGAAGGCTGAGGCGGAAGGATGGTCGGAGCCCAGCAGGTCGAGGCTGCGGTGGCCGGGAGTGGCCCCTGCACTCCAGTCTGGGCGACTGAGTGAGATTCCAACTCAAAAAAAAAAAAGATCAAGTATCCTTACGGATGAGGAGTGCCTCCCTCCCCTGGCAGTTTCCATTTTTCTTTTGAGAGGAATCTGTGGACACAATTGCAGCTAGAGTATTTTATACTCTGTGACAACAGTAGGTAAATTATCTTGAAACAACTTGTAGTATATCTAGATTCTTGTGAAACTATTTTTATAAAGAGATTTAAATCTTTAAATCAATTTCATGTAAGTTTGGAATGGGATTTTGATGCCTCTGACATTTCTTGTAAGTTGTGGAGTCTCACCTCACACAAGACCTAAGGTGACTTCATGATTTGAATTTATTCAAAGCTTCTGTTTGTATATTTTATTGCTGTATCTTTACTAAGAAGAAAAAAACCAAATTTTAAAATTGTCCTCTTTGCTGATAATGAGTTCATCTGAAGCTTCATAAGAAAATATCATTCCTAGCCGGGCTCTGTGGCTCAGTCTGTAATCCCACACTCTGGGAGGCCAAGGTGAGTGGATTGCCTGAGCCTGCGGATTCGAGATCCGCCTGGGCAACTTGGCGAGACCTCATCTCTACAGCAAATCAAAAATTAACTGAGCGTAGTAGTGCATGCCTGTAGTTCTGGCTACTTGGACAGCTGAGGCAGAAGGATTACCAGGTCACAGCAGGTAGAGGCTGCGGTGGCCAGGAGTGTGCCACTGTACTCCAGTCTGGACTACAGAATGAGAC